ATATATATATATAAAATACATATAGAGAGAATAGTCGTGAAAATAAACCAACCATCTAAAATACAGCAACAAACATCAGACACTATATCAGAGTAGCTCAGTGTCCAATAATACATGTATATAGAAATCTGTGTGTGTGTGTCAGAATGTTGATCCTGCTTTATTTTGATGACAAGACAGCACGCCAATCTGCATAATTCCCACAGCCGCCCCTCTTTTTCCCTCCCCTCCGCATGTTAATGAGCCGTCGCCTAGGACACGCTAATTAAACAGAATGCTGCACACTCATCCAATCAGGAGTACAGAGGAATGTAGACATCACACACACACACACACTGGTAGAGCTCTCACTGGGTGATCTGTTGCAAGTGCAAATGCACACTCACACACACCCACACACACTCTAAAATGGATGATGGCAGAAGGACACACAATACACACATCAATACTGGAGACCAACCTCAATCTCTCTTTCATACACTGTAGGTAAATACTGTAGGTTGTGTGTGTGTATGTGTGTGTTATTTCTGAGGGTGGTCACTGTCTTTCACGCACACACACATGCACACACACACACACAACCATAAATAAGGTGTCTAGACAGCACGGCCGTCACTCTGCCCTCTGGTGTGTGTTGAACATACAAATCAACAGGGTGATAAAGAGGGAGAGAGGTTAGGGTTATAATGAATATTCATGATCTGCATGAGGAAAGACTGATTCATCCCGATGTCTTTCCTTGCTGGCCCTCACAGCCACACACGTACACACACACCACAACAGGAACCCCATTAATCTGTCAGTTTTTCCACCTTTGCTGTTCTGTTGATCTGATTTCATCTTTCTCCTGCTTTTTCTAAATGTCCAACTTACGTTTTTATTTTCATCCGTCATTCATCTATCTCTGTCTTCCATTGTATTATTAGTAAATATAGTTTGAAATAGCACAGCTACCACTTACGTAGTAATGCATTTGTAAGCAGGGACTGCGATAAGTGATATTTTTTTGTTGCCATGCTTAACAGTCATTTGCCTTTCCCATATTTGATTACAGTTTGCGTGCAGGGTTAATTTTCTGACACCATAACCCATGACTACAGTGCTTTTCTTCAGCATGCAGGGCCACACATAAGTGGGGGAGAAAGCGGAGGGATTTCTGGGGCCCAGCTGCTAGGGGGGGCCAATGGAGGCCAGCAATAATCCATCTTAAATCTTAATCATCTTACTTACTTAAAATAACAAGAAATATCAATGAACCAAAGAGCAAGTACAGGAAAATAGTTACTGCTTGCAAATGTGTTTTGTCAAGAAGAAACAAAGCTGACTAAACGTGAACTGAAATGTGATGAATTAGCCCACATATTTTATTTTGAGTAAATTTCTGCAAGCTGGTTTTCATAGTGCACCGAAATAAAAATAAAAGGAAGTCAAAGGTTTTTTTTTCAAAGGTAGGGAATTTAAATGTTTACAGCTTTTGGAAATGGTCAGCAGTAATGTATTGTTAATGCGATAACACTTGCAAAACTACCTGCATACTGGAGAGGAAAGGAGAGGTGGGATTTAAATCTGTTCTTAAACTCAATAGGGCAACACTGGCCCTTGGCAAAGACACACACACACACAC